AAATCCAGAAGACCATCTGCTTGATGAACAGGTACAATGTTCTGAAAACTTACTGTGAAGTTGTGAGCAATTAATTTCTCTGTAGTTGTTATCATAATTTTTTACCTCAATAAGTCGTTGGTATTCTTTACATTTACCATACCTAGCTATTGATTAGTTACAAGAACGATCACACAGAATTTTTTTACAACAGGGCCCAGTTGTTCGAAGGCCGATTAGCACTTAACCCAGGGTTAAATTTAACGGGGTTTCTTTTTCTTTGTTCAAAAAGCATTTTCTCGGATAGTTTTTCTCTGTTATTCTTAAGAGCATTCAATCATTAACTTGTTGATAAAAAAGAATTAAATTGAATTTACTTTTTAAGCTTTCACATCTGAATTCAAATTTTGCACAAACCCTAGGTTATCTTAACCCAGCTTTGAACAACCCTGCCCTGGTGTTTACAATATTCATCTATTACTAATGACTGATACTTAACTTTACTATATTTTGTTAATTAAATACTGACCCTGTTGTAGATGCAAGGTGTAAACCAGCAAATTGAAACCCCCTCAGACATTTCTCTGGCACGTACATGTAATAAATTAAAATGAAATGTTTATAACAGAAAAATACACCATGCAAGTAAAAAGGAAAAAATATATGACTGTGTTTGACTGCTGTACAAAAAAATGAAGCTTATAATTTTATTTCAATGGACCATTTTACAGTTGCAGGTGAAAACAAGGTTGAGTCTACCTTGTATTGGTATACCCTTGCTGCTTATTATGTTGGTTTTCTGCAAACTAGTATTCTTAAGCATAATTTCCATAAGAAAAGGAAGCAGGTTTGTATCAAAACACGGTGAAACTCACCTTAACTCTCATTCACTGGAAGACTACTGGTTATTAAGCCCACAACTGTAATATGGTCTATTTGGATTTTGACTACCTTTGGCAGTGAACATAAAGAAAACGCCATAGCACTATTTTAATTATTGAGGGAATGGCACTACAATGAAGTTTAATAATCAGTAATAAATAAACTACAGTAAAAAAAACCAACATGCATGTAAAAGTAGTGGTTTACTTAAAAACCCTCCCTTCTAGTAGAAATGGTTCATTTTAAAAAAACAAAAACACCAGAACCTACATGTTTTAACTCAACAAAGAAAAAGCAGGTTATTATATGATTAACTTTCCAACCAGAGAGAACTAAGGATTTTAGGAGCAAACACATTAATTATTTTTCTGGTGCTTGAAGACTACATCTCTTTAATAAAATGGATCTAAGTAATTTAATTAAATCTACTGCATGTATGCGTAAATATTGCCAATAACCATCGAAAGTACAAAAACCTTTTTGGCATACAGTCAACTCCCTTTATAGGGGAAATGTAGGGGCTTGAGTTAGTGTCCTCATTAGTGAGATTCTGTAGCAGTGGGAGTTAATTATAGTCAAACTTCTGTAATTTATTTTTGCTTGGGATTAAGCTACTGTCCATTATCATCGGGGTCTCAGTTTTGAGTTACAGCTCGGTGTCCACAAGGCAAGAGTTCACTGTATTTCCAAAAGTAGGTTCATCAAACATGCAGGTTTTACTGTAAGTTAAATAGAGTAAAAGCAGACTTTTAACAAAACAATATTACTACAATGAAATTATTCAAGCACTTACTTTTTTGCCTGACAAAATGGCTCTTTCAGCTTTTGGAGTAATAACCCATTCAACACAAGCCCTTAGCCCAACATCAATTTAAGAGCATGTATATTTGTTAGGCCTCGTCACATAGTAGACCCTTGTCCACACAGGTTGATTACAGCAACGGCCTGTTCATTTTTTATGCATGGCCACACAGGCCCTCACCCACAGGCTGATTACAGCATAACAACACTTTTATTTGTTATCCATGGCCACAAAGGCCCTCAGCCACACAGGCTGATTACAGCATAACAACACTTTTATTTGTTATCCATGGCCACAAAGGCCCTCAGCCACACAGGCTGATTATACAGCATAACGGCACTTTTATTTGTTATGCATGGCCACAAAAGCCCCTCAGCCACACAGGCTGATTACAGCATAACTGCACTGTTAATTATTGGCCATGCTTGGATATCATTCATTACAACATAGGCATTAGGGCAAACGTCTTGAAGATAAATTATGATTCCAAACAAGACACCACCATGCTAAGGCCTTCATCTCTGAAACAATTATTACATTTGTCGACAGCAGACCACATGTTTCAATGACGATCTTGAGACTGAGCCCACTCTACGAGTCTGAGAAATGTTTCCTCCCTATATGCTGGGGCTAACACCCTTCTCTGTCGACACTGAGTTGCTAAGACATGCAGTCTCTCAATCTCCACTGCTCTAGCTCTTGTAGTTGGAGTGTCCACAGGTCTGAATCTGTCATTGTTTATCAGAACATCTTCATGAAAAGCAAAATCAGGATCTCTTCCTTCCCCCCACCTGCCGATTTTGCTCTTGACAATGCCACAAATAGAGCTCCTGGGTTTCTGGCTTCAAAGCCATGGTCCCCAGGGTGAACCACTACATACCTGAATGCTTCTCCGGTGCCCACAGTCATCCCTTGGCATTTGTGGATTGTTGTTCCCCATGCCAGTCGCAATGGAACCTGCAGACGCTTGCATCGGCATGCGCATTCAGTGGAACGACTTACCGGTACAATTGGCACAACTGTCAGATCTTCATTAATGTATGGTGGCCCCCTGTATCCTGGAAACCTCACCAGAACCACATCAGGTAGAGGAGCAGGATCATCAGTAGGTCTATGCCATCTTTGTACACAATATCTACGACTGTGCCTACTGCCCCATTGTACAAACCCCAATCAGCCTTTTAAGTTAACCACCAGCATAACTTTGCTGTCACGGCAAAAGATACAGTAGAGGTAACAATCCTCCCGCTTTTATTACTGTCGGCCTTCACTGCATGTCTGCCATTGTCAACTGCCTTGATCTTTGCTACTGGGTGGTTTGGCTGTCTGTTACACTCAAGCAGCTTTGTTTTATTACGCTGCCATTCAAGACGGTGAGTGGGAAATACATACAGTCCTTGCTCATCCATCCTAGCAAGGAGTTCTGGGCCATGCGACATGCGGAGATTGTGCCATTGAAACTGTTGTAGCCAATGGATTTGCTGGGGGTGTTGTCGTATAATTTCTTAGTGACATCAGCACGTCTCTCAGCTGTTGTTCAGATTCATTCTGCCATATAATCTGAGTAAGCTCAACAGCACTATCAAACATTGTCCAAACCAAGCGACCGTGGTTAGATGGTGCACTACGACAATCTGAGATGTACACGGGGTGTCACACACAGGAGGAAGCTGAACATCATCTCCCATAAACACTGCCACAGGAATCCCTCCCCATAACTCATCTGCATTGGCTCCTTTGTTCATTGCATAACGTGCATGCTGTTCCATCCAGCCCATTGTTGTACGTCCAAACATTGATCGCTCATCACCAACCAGAACTTTCAGATTTTCGCACTTTTCTGAATTTTCTCTAGTAAGGGACCTGTAGGTACAGTCAACTCATTGCCAGACCTTCCACCTGTTGGTACTCCAAGAAAACTGTGAGCTGTACTGCCGTGAACAAGATAGGCAGCATTCCCGTTGGAGTTATCACCTGTATTGCATCATTGGCTTCAAAAAACTTGCCGCACTAACCTCTGGAGACACTTGATGACATACGACTTTCCTGTACCAGCAGTTCCAGAGACAACAAGCCGCAGTGGATGGTAATATTCAGTGTTTTCAACAAAGTTGTACAGGGCAAGCAAAACTAGACTCACTATGGCTTTCTGATTTTCATTTAGAGATAATGGACACACCTGAGGTAAATCAAGGTCTGCACTTTCTGTCTGCTGTTCATCATCTGCTTTAATACTTTCTTGAAGCCATTTTGTTGGGTCTTGTCCTTCAGGAAGAATGATACGGGTTCTGCTCCAGTCATAGTCATCCCCACCATCATCATAATCAAAGTCCCTCTCTACACCCCCTCATATATTTGGTTCTGCCCGCATATACATCCACCCAGTCTGGTTGTTCTTCTGCTTCGACAGCATCATCTTCCTCATCCTCTTCAAATACTGGTTCTTGTGGGTGGTCTGCATAACGCCGTGCCTTAGCAACTTGGGCCTTCACAAATGTTGGACAGTCATCACTTGCAAAAAGTCCTTAAAGCGATCAATCCAAGATTGAGCATCCCCCCTTCACTTCTTGGATGTCAAACCAGCTTGGCCAGTGTAGCAGGAGCATAGTCCTACAGTAGTCCTCATTCAGTGGCCATGTTGCGTGTGTAGAACCACCACTTACAACAGGGACATTACCGTTCCTCGATGCAAAGTGGTACCAAGAACAGTGCTCATCTCGTGGTGGGTGCAAGGTACTTATCCAGTGGGGTGCTGCGTGAGTTGCAGTTTCACCATCACGTTCAAGTCTCCTTGACCCCGACATTGACAAATAGGTAAATGGACGGGCTACATCGCCAAAGTGCTAGGCCACTCAGCTCAAAGGATGCCTCCGGTCCACTGATATCTCGTCTTCCCACGGTCTTTATCAGCATCTTACCACACATTGACTTACCTGTCACTTGGTCTGCATCAGCTGCATCAACAGCATTTACCATGTCCTTAAAGAGATCAGAAGTTGCACCAGTGGGTTCGCTATCTTTGCAAGCATAACCACACACATAGTCGATTATGGCTATGATATCATCAGTGCTAGGATTGTCTGAGGGGAATTGGAAAGAATCAAGCTTACATCCCCCATTTGCTCTCCACGATTGTAACTGATAACGAGAATGCTGAACCACACGTGGATGGTCACGAGGCATATCCAGGCGGGGAGCTCCGTTATGATCTTCCACAATTTCCGGATTACTGTGCACTTTTTTCCCTGGGTGGAACTCGCTTCCAAACTCCATCCGACAAACACGTTCTCTCGGCTGCAGTCCTTGCTCCGGATGGCAAGGAGTTCTCAAGCAGTAATCAGAGCAACTGTGGAGTCCAACCCTGTTTACTAAAAAGCAAATGATCCTCCAGTATTGCATCTTGTGTTGCTGCGATCTGCATTAGCATCTTCACTAAGGGATCCCTGTCATCTGATATGGGCTCAGCCGTTCCCTCAGGTGGTGGCCAGAGGTCTTTTCTTGGCTGCCCTTCTTCGTCATTGCCAGCTGGATGTAATGCTGTCATGGCAAAGGTTTCATCTGCCCACTGACTAAGTCTAGCTGCATACTCTTCCTCTTCACAACCATCTTCACGAGCTTCATGCAATAGCTGATGTGGTTGCCTGTCTTCCCTCCAGCTGAGTTGGTGCCAATGAATTTGACCACGGGACTTGGCAAACTCACAGCGGTACCAATAATCAGAGACACCAAATACCGGCTTCAGTATCTTCTCATGGTAAGCCTGGGCACGCAGGTCAAAGTAACTCACCACTACATGAGTATTTTTCTTGTACTGCCTTGAAGCGGGCATTGCTATCTTCAGCAAGGTTGACTTCTTCGCCTTTTTCGTCTGCAAGATGTACTCTTCCAGTAGCCTTCTAAGAGGAGGAAAGTAAAACTCGGCACAGCTTCCAGTCATGAAAAATGAAGGCAACCCACGCTTCTCATTGACCATGAACTCCACAAAGGGCACGAAGCTCTCTGCGTCTCTGGTGCCAGTACTGAGCTGTACCACGCAGATTTGCGCCAAAATACAACAACTTGTCGGTAAAAGTGTCACCTCCTCGCAAAGTCGCTCTTGCAGGTCTGCAACAGTTATGTGTGGGTCACCAAGTTGCTGATCAACAAAGAACCGACTCTGCTCCAGGGCACGCTTCCTCATGATCATATTGTGGACAACAAACTTCCACACCTTATGCCTCGCAAACCTTCCGTCTTGGTACCACAGCAGGTGCTCTGCCCAGTTATGCAGTGAAGGAGATGTCACTGGCCGGTTTATGTGGAAATCGCCCTTTCCATGGGGAAACAAGCAAGGAAATGCCATCGTAAAAAAGTAGGGAGTGGTAAACTCTGATGCTGGTGTTGTACCCGTGGTCGGCCAAGGGATCACTGGTCGTTGCACATTTCCTTGTGCTTCTTCAACTTCACCTTCCCGAGATTCAGAAACAACTTCATTTATGGCTGCTTCTACTTGTGCTTGCACATTCACTCCAGGCTCAGGAAGAATAATTCCAGAGACTGTTGAGTCATCAGTGCTGTCTGTTTCCCCAACATCCAATTGTTGTGGTGCAGGGCCTTGGTCATCAATGCGTTCTGTTTCAGAGAACTCAACAGTCCTCAAATTCGCAACTCACCATCTTCTGGTAAATTCTCTATGCGAGCGCCATCTATAACAACATCACCATAAGCAGGATTGTTGTCCTTGAGCCAACGAAGGGCTCCTTCAACACGGTGTCTTCTAACCCTGAAGTCCTTATGGGTATCATCTTTTCCTTGTCTTCTCACGCGTATGATATCCACCTCTGCTGGTAGGCGTGGAAGAATAGTGGCTGGTTCTTGCACAGCCTGTGGGAAAGCAATGCAATGTCCCTTTGAGGCAATACCTCCATGCTTCAGTAGGTGTACATGCACAGTAGGTGCTAGCCTGGCTATCAGCATCTGTTCAGCATCTGACATGTTAGACAAAATCTCAGGAACAGCCATTGGATCCATGTTATTCTCACCAGACCAAACTTTTGGCACCTTCTTATCTCTTCTGCAGCGAGTACACATGTTTCTGGTGCCCTTGCACTCCAATCGCCTTTCCTTGCAGACCTCACAAAAAAAGAATGCATAAGTCATCTGCTCCACCTCAAATGCACGAATAGCACTGTATGCATTATCTTCTTGCTGACTTGACCCTGCAGGTGGAGGAGGTGGTAGATCTCCAACAGCTTCACGCAACCTTTTCTCTTGTTCTGATATTCTTCTTTGGTTTCGCCGCTGTCTTTTTCTCATGTCATCCTCCGTTTCCACTTCACCAGGCTTTGCAAACTCATAGTCCACACCAACTGCCCTTGCTCTAGCAATAAGGCGGTCATCTTCTAGGTGGCTACTATTATTTACTTCTGGAAGAGGTTGCTGTGTTTCCTGCACGTTGTTTGCTTCCTCGATTGGGGCATTTTCTAGTACAAGGGTGTCCTTTTCCATCTCTTCTCCTAGTAAATGAATTATCTTTATTTACCAACTACACAATATAAGCTTTTAGTGGCACTAGTGGACTCTATTTTTAGCATGCCTGAGGGATAAGTGAAGTTGTTTGGGGTATTCAATTACAGGAGAAGAATTAATAGAATTGTGACTCTTGGGCTATGCAGGCTACAGCCTGCCTACCTAATGGTGCTTGTGTTACTGATTTCAGAACCTGATTTCAAAAAGGAAATACACAGTATTTTTCCAAACCTTAGATAAAAGAGCAAGGCTTGAAAATCGTTTTCTAAGTGGTGATAACTACTGACTGAGATTTCATAAATCAGTCATCAGTCTTTTGATGTAATATGTATAGATCTTGACTATCACATGCTTTACTAACATTATCTCATTTTATAAAGAAAACTGCTACAAATTGTACTTGTAGAAAGGACCTTCATGCTGTGCTACAACTATTTTGAACCTATTCTCACCATGGAGCTATCCTTAAGTGGTTGTACTTTTGTCCGCATGTCCGCTCCCTTATTTGCAAGGATCTTATACAGGCATTTGTTTTCATGATTCACTACAAATATTGTTATCATTTGTTTCCCCTTTTCTTCTTCATTTATATTCCACAAAATACTTAACCCCATTCACACCAAAGCTTAAACAAAGTTAAAATTGTTTGCTTTATAATAGCTGCTTTTTCAATACTGACTAAGTTTCTTGCAAATTACCAGAATGGTTGAAGGTCATTATTTTGAATCCTGTGTGAGAATCTGAGGTCCAATTTTCTGTGTCTGTTTTTCATTTTAATACATGTTTAGTTGGTGTGAATGGGTAGCGTGTGAATGGGGCATGAGTGTTTGCATAAGTAGTCACCGCCTTTGAGTTCAATTTCCATTTTTCAAAAAATATCAAAACTGAATGAGCCTTAAATTAAAGGGCAAATGCAATTTGAGCTTTTGAAAAAAACACATGAGTGCAAATAAATTCCACATTGAGTGAGAAAAGTCATATGATTACTTTTTAATAATATACATGAAATAATTTACATGTACTTTCCTGCCTGCCTTTGTATGCTTTAATTTTGCAACACATACTTAGTTGTTTCGCATTTATTTTAGCATCTCAAAATCAAGGAACTGAATTGTTTGTCCTTAGTTATGGACAGGTGTATCCTTAACTCTTTCAATGCGTGTCCATAGCTGTCATAATAATTAATTTTCAGACCATTTTGGGCACATAGTTGCCCACTTGTTTGTTTATATTACTCATGAGTCTTGATGTAGAAGGACTCCACTAAGCAGTTTGTTGGGTTTGGCATCCTAGAAACTCTCAATTTTCTCTGAAAATCCTTTCTCTTTGTACAATAGCTTCAAACATCAAATCAATATATAGTCCTGTTTACAACGTTTATATTTGATTTTTGTTTTCAATTGTTCAATAGTACTTTGTCATAACAGAACTAAATTTTGCTTTGTATGCCAGCTATTTTTCCACTCGTCAAGTTACCTACCTGGCTTCCCACGGGGTGACCAGCAGATTGTGGTACCTGATTGGTTCTGATATATTTCTATTGTTTATTAGCTAATCACATTTTTTCATTCTCTGAGAAAATATTTTTTTACTCTTATTTGCATAATTTTTCCTCATTTTTGCACTGTGTTTACTAAAATTTGCACTGCTCTAAGACAATCACTTTCAACAAATTGTTCCATGTATATTATTATCTTTCATAATAAATATCATCTTCTGTAATCAATAATTATTATATCAGTACCTGCTGAATGACCTTGCTCTTGTTCACCTGGCAGAGAGCTTTCCATGCTACATTCAAGTTGGAGGACTTCACTTTCACGTTCTTCTATGGCTAAGAAGATAAGATATAATCTTAATAAATTGGGCAAGCAGATTGTGACACCTGAGGCTGATTGGTTCTTATACATTTCTATTGTTCAGTGTTATCCAGAAGTTTTAGAGTAGCCAGCTTCCAAAGCAAAGAAACTGGTGCCTGACACCAACCACTGATAAAGCGAGAGTACTGTATCTAAGGGAGGGGTTTGGGGACATTAAGCCCAGAGATCTGAGAAGTTTCGCTCGTGATTTATAAGCTTTTCCAGAGTTCTCCCAAGAACCAAGTGAGTTATCATGCTGGTAAATCCATAGAAAATGTGGTCTTTTACTTTTATAAAATAACTTTAAAGCATGTTTCAGTTTACTATGAGATTACCAGCACAATAAACTATTGGTTTTTAACCAATCAGAATGCATGTACTGTCTTAGATATTTTACAATTAAAAATATTATCTGGCAATGTCTCATCAAAAATCATTCAGTAAATATATCGAGCAAAAGAGCTTTTTGTACGACAAGTTATTGTTTTTGTTTCTTTTAGGACCTTCTGAAAAATTCAAGATAAAAGGTACAGACAGTTTTTTTTACTGTTTTGAGTCATAAGAGTAGGCAGCAAAACCACCAGTCGCCTGCGCTTCTGGAGAACACTGATTGTTCACAGGTTTTCATTCTCTGAGAAATTTGCACTTTATTTCCTTATTTTTGCATTATGTTTCCTTGTTTTTTTACTGTGTTTACTAAAAACTGCACTGCTCTAAGCCAATCTCATTCAAGAAATTTTTCCATGTATATTATTAAGTTTTATAATAAATACCATCTACCATGAACTATATCAGTACCTGCTGATTGACTTTGCTCTTGTTCACCAAGCAGAGAGCATTCCATGCTACATTCAACCTGGAGGACCTGACTTTCATGTTCTTCCATGGCTACGAAGATAAGCAAGCAGATTGTGACACCTGAGGCTCATTGGTTCTTATATATTTCTATTGTTCAGTGTTCTCCAGAAGT